TTTATATTAGTTTCCAAGAGCGAATAATGTATGGGTATTCAATCTTTTTGTGATAATTTGGTTGTATGTACAGTTCCAAGGAGATTTATACTCCCTTTATTAGAGGATATATTTGATTTTTCTTTTTCGTCTGTCCAAAATTATAAATCACTTTTCTTTTAAAGTGTATAGTAAGTTTCTTAATTTTCTAATATACTCTTATTTAATGTGCATTGTTATTAACAAATATGAATTACTCTTATATAAACTATTATTTAATGTAAGTGTAGGAAAATGTAAATACAAATTATATTTTCAACTATATTAATTATATATTTTTTTATTTGTGTGAAAATATAAATATATCTTTATAGGATTGATGGAGTGTATGAGTAGGTTGCTTCAATTTCAACGAACAAGAAAAACCATATGTTAAAACGTCACTCGAGTCAATTGTGAGTATCTGGAAAAGAGGCCTGAATTAAGCTTTCCTCATTCGAAATATGTAAAAACGAGAATAGAGTGTGTGGTGAGAATGTGGTCGACTCAAAAGGAGTGTCATTAGATTGCAGATTCTTTTGATTTCATCCTAAAGAGCCGTCGAGTTCTCTTAATAGTTCATAGGAGATAAATGATGAAAATCTTAATTGATATTATATTGAAGGCTTACAAAATTATATAATTATTTTAGAAAGAGAATTTATAATTTATGTTAAAAGAGATTTTCTTCTATTTTCTAGAACTTCATCTATAAGTAGTACTAGATTTTCCATTTTAAACACACTTTTGATAATATAAGCCCCAATTTGGTAGCCATTTTTTGGAGACAAAAAATATATATTGTTTTGAATAGTGAATTTTTGGAGAATGTGCAGTTAAAACATATGGAAATTTTTTGAATTTATGTGTAAAATATTTTATTGTATGAATGTATAATTTAAATATAGTTGAAAATGTGTATGCAAAAATAAGAGTTTTGAAAGAATGAGAGACAAACGGACGCTAACATCTCTCTCTGATCTCTCTATCTATCTATTCTCTCTCATTTCCTCCTCCTGCCCCTCTTCTCTTCTCTTCTCCTCTTCCCTTTTACTATTCTCCTATAGTTTTGGTTCTCGTTATGAGCGTCGGTCATCAAAAGGCCCAACAAAACTTGAAATATGCGTGGTACTGATCTAAGAATAGTCCTTTCATTGAATCTTCTTCGGAGGAAAATTAATGAAATCTTTGTTAGATCAAACATTCCATGGCCATGTCCCTCCAAAAATCTTATTTGTGCAGATTCCTTTGCCAACTAAGAAAGTGAATGTCTCTA